AGTCGAACACAATCGCGCCCGATCGTTGAGTCCAACACGATCGTGTCCGATCGTCGAGTCGAACACGATCGTGCCCGATCGTCGAGTCGAACACGCCGGCGCCCGAGCGCTGAGTACAACACGACAGCGCCCGGCCGCTGAGTACAACACGACAGTGCCCGATCGTGGAGTCGAACGCGTCAATACCCGATCATCGAGTCGAACACGACAGTGCCCGTTCGTCGAGTCGAACACTATTGTAGAGTCGAACACGACAGTGCCCGTTCGTCGAGTCGAACACGATTGTCGAGTCGAACACGATCATGCCCGATCGTCGAGTCGAACACGACGGCGCCCGACCCTCGAGTCGAACACGTTAGCGCCCGACCGCTGAGTGCAACACGACAGTGCCCGATCGTCAAGTCGAAACACGACAGTGCCCGATCGTCGAGTCGAACATGGCAGTGCCCGATCGTCGAGTCGAACCCGATCGTCGAGTCGAACACAATCGTCGAGTCGAACACAATAGTTGAGTCGAACATGATCGTCGAGTCGAACACGATCGTCGAGTCGAACACGATAGTTGAGTCGAACACGATCGAGTTGAACACGATCGTCGAGTTGAACACGTTCGTCGAGTCGAACACGATCATCCAGTCGAACACGATCGTCGAGTTGAACACGATAGTTGAGTCAAACACAACAGTGCCCTGTCGTCGAGTCAAACACGATCGTCGAGCCGAACACGACAGTGACCTATCGTCGAGTCGAACACGATCCTTCCCTGTCGTCGAGTAGAACACGATTGTGCGCGGTGCAATGTCGTCGAATCGTTCATGATTGTGTGCAGTGCGATGGACCGCGTGCGTCGTGTCCTGGAAGATCGTGCATGGGTTGCGTGCGCACATAGATTCTGTGCAGTGTGCTGTCGTGTGGTCTGGTTTGTTTTCATTGTTGGGGAAAGGGGGGAAATTGTTCTATGTTGTTGTTGATCGTTGCGCTTGTGCCGTGCAGGGCGTCGGGGGGGAATTGTTCTATGCTGCTTTTGATCGTTGCACTTGTGTCGTGTAGGGCGTCGTCTCTTCACTGTTGCTATGGAGATCTCTCATATGACCCCAACACTTTGGCGTGCACGCAAGGCACACTCTTTCCCACCTTGCGCGTTGTACGTCCGGCAATGTCAGCAGGGCAGCGTAACCTATGACAACGCTTGTCCTGAAGACTTCGAATGCGACCCTTGGATGAGAATCCTCCCGTTTGGAGACAAATATTTGGACTCGTGTGATGAGTACGAGTAGGTGAACATGACGGAGAGATACCCGTGGGCGTGCGATTATGAGTTCGCCAATATGTCAGAATTCGGCAAACGCATTTCTGTGCTGTTCGATGAGCTGCGTCCCGTACGCTTGCCTCAATTGTGTAAAAAGTTGAAAATAAGCAGTCTTGTGGGGGTTTTGGACTGCGAATACGTGACAACCTCGCCGCGCACCTGGTGTCGTGTTATGAAACAAGAGTTACTCGATTGTGCGCGACATTCTCAGTTCCTCGATCATTATCCGTTGCGATCTCCCGGTCTGTCGCCAAGAGAAGTTTCGTATTGTTGTGTGAGATTGCGTCTGACATACTTCATTTTCTGTAGGGTCCGCTGTATTGCCGTTTCGAACAGGGCAAGAAACTTGACCGACGCTGTCGTGTATGTGTCCAGCAACGAGTTGTCTATGTCCGGGAGGGATATGTGTTTAGTTCAAAAACAGGTAGATGGGAGACTGGATATCGTGGTGGGTGGCCAGGTGGAGGACGTTGGCGCATGGCGCGAGGTCAAGGCTAAAGTCGTTTCAATTCGGGATGCTATAGGCGCTTCTCTCGTCGGGAACTCCGAGTTCGTGCGCATCACATACATTTCGGTGTTCGTTGAGACGGCGCAGCAGCTGACCTTCGGATCGCCACTTAGTGTGTTGAATGGCCGCAACGGCGAGATTGTTCCCCGTAGTCAACAGATAGCCTTCGTCGACATACTGAATGGTCGCAACGGCGGGAGAGCTCCCCATGGTCGATGGATAACCTTCGCCGTTCCACATTTTCCGACTCTGCCACTGTCGCAAGTTCGTGGATGTGTCGATACCGATGTTGATAACTTTTTGATTCCGTTTTCGTCCGATGTTGACAACTTTTTGATTTTGTTGTGCGTTCGATAATGACGCATCGCTGCCTTTCCGTTTTTATTTTCGTGGAAATCAGATTGCGATTGTTGTTTTCAATGTGTTATTTTGGTAACAATTCGAGGTATCTGCTAGTTGTTCTTATCATGTGTTCAGTGGCAAAAAGTACACACGTGTGACGTTGTTGTCCTCAAATTGTTTTTCGATTCATTGGAACCCGGGAATGATGACACGTGTTTTCGGTTTGGCTTTGGACACCGAGTGTTTGATTGTTGTTCTCATGTTGTGTTTCCTTGCGAAAAAAAAAACTCGTTGTTCTGATGTTTTGCGTGCACAAGCATTCAGCAATCATTGTATCTCCATAATAACCAGTGCCTGCGATCTGTTGTCTTCTGTTCTCGTGATCAAGTGTCCCTTCAGGCAGCGTCCGCCGACCATTGTGTCGAACACGACAAATGTCGCACGGCAGACCACAGTGTCGTTGTCGAGTTCGACACGATAGTCGCCAGACGGTGCCGGAAGGGGCACCTGGTCGACTGTCGCACGACAGACAACAGTGTCGCTGTCGTGTCGAACATGACGGTCAGCTCCCCTTCAGGCACCGTCTGCGGACCATCGTGTCTAACACGACGTGGACACTGTGGTCTGGCGACCAGACGGTGCCTGAAGGGGCATTTGGTCGACTATCGCACGACAAACAACAATGTAGATGTCGTGTCGAACACGACGGTCGGACAGCCAGCGCAGTGCCGAACTCGACGTCGTGTGACATTGCTGTCCTGATATTGTTTTTCGATTCATTGAAACCCAGGATTGATGACACGTGTTTTCGGTTTGGCTTTAGACACCGACACATCGTTGCCAGCCCGAGTGTTTGATTGTTATTCTCATGTTGTGTTTCGTTGCGAAAAACAAAAACCGTTGTTCTGATGTTTTGCGTATACAAGCATTCAGCAGTCATTGTATCTCCGTATTGACCAGTGCGTGCGATCTGTTATCTTCTGTTCTCGTGATCAAGTGCCCCTTCACGCACCGTTCGCCGACCATTGTGTCGAACACGACAAATGTCGCACGACTGACCACAATATCGTTGACGTGTTCGACACTGTGGTCGCCAGACGGTGCCTGAAGGGGCACTTGATCGACTATCGCACGGCAGACAACAGTGTCGCTGTCGTGTCAAACACGACGGTCAGCTCCCCTTCAGGCACCGTCTTGCGACCATCGTGTCGAACACGAAATGGATACTGTGGTCTGGCGACCAGACGGTGCCTCAAGGGGCGCTTGGTCGACTGTCGCACGACAGACAACAGTGTAGCTCTCGTGTCGAACACGATGGTCGGACAGCCCGCACAGTGCCGGACTCGACGTCGAGCAGGACGACGAGTTGGTCAGCCGTCGGGTTCGACACGACGACACCGCAATGTCGCCGTCGTGTCGAATTCGACGGTACTAGAA